AATAACCTGCGGCCGAATCCTCCCGGTCCTTCCGCCTCCCCTTCGCCTACGAGTCTGCTCTTTCCTTTTCCTTCTTCTTCGAATGTCAATGAAACGGCTACTCTGCCTCCACCGAAGAGGATTCTGCACCATTCACAGAGCGTATCTTTCGCATCATCGCCTACCTCCCCTGTTCGTCCCGATGCGGATTGGGAGTTCGTAGCTGCTGCTTCCACGTCCTCGCTTACCTCTGCTTCTTCGGATGATACCGTTGGCTCAGAAAAAACAAAGAATAGGAGGAAAAAAGACAAGAAGAGACGCACGAAAGGCAGCAAGTCCCCTCCAGCCTCAAAAACCCAATTCCAACCACAACCAAGAGAGGAAGGCGATACCTCGCCTTCTCTGTATTCCTGCGAAAGCGCTCCGCGGTCCTTGATAGGCTCTTCCGAGTCTTTCTTCCTCCCTCAGCAGGAGGTGAATGATAGTTTATCGCGCGACTCGGCTTATTTTGACCATGACTTTAACCGTGACCGTAATTATGATCATGAGGAAGATAGGTCGGATGCCCAATCTACCTCGACGGGCGGCGACTATGCCCCGTATTTGCCCCTGATCATCCAGCATGAGAGGCTGCAACAGAAATTGAGGATGCCTATACCTTTTAGTGCCGTCGGTGAAACTGAAGTTGAAGGTTCCGCATCGCAGTCGCGGGTGGGAGGAGGTCCAGTGCCCGCCTCTCCGAGGTCGAGGAAGGTTTCTACTAGAGGTCGAGAGAGGAAGAGGACGTTGAGTGGAACGAGGAGCAGCGGTCAAGCGTCCTCATCGACTTCGACTAAATCGCGTAAACGTCCCTCCAATATTCCCCCGCCTCTGCCTTCTCCGCCTCTTGCACGTCCTGTTTCACCTTCGCGTTCCCCTTCCCCACCGCCTCCTCGGCGCGCATCTGCGCCTGCTCATGCTAATGTACACGCCCACACACGCAGTTCTAGGCGTGCGGTGTCTTCATTCTCCTCTGCGTCGAGCGTGGCGAGCAGGGACAGCGTGGATAGTCGGGGTCCGGATACGCCTTGCACGCCGTTCTTTATCGCTTCGGAGGCGAGCAGCGTTGTTGTCATTGCTGAGGGTGAGGGTAGGGGTTCTGTGCGCGGTTCAGGCCAGGGTTCTACTTCGACTGGAAGCGGGTCGATGAGGTCGAGTGAGGACAGTGTTGTTGGTGTAGATGTGGGTATGGATATGGATATTGCACCTGGCTTTGAACGGGTGCTTTCGCAGAGTGAGAAAGAAAAGGTGAGAATCTCTTTTGTAACTTCTACTTTTTCTTTGCTGCGCTTATATGTGCTTGATGCACGTTGATCAATGTTTGTTATCCCGGATGATAGAATGCTGATTTCTTTTTCTCCATCTTTTTTCTTATCTGTACACAGTTTAGCCCCTCTGGCGTGTTACCCGTCTCCCCGTCATCCTCAGGCTACAGTACAAGTGACAGTAAAAGGACCGGGACGCATCGTTCTTTCTCACCTACCAAAAAATTGCAGCGCGCTGCGAGTCCCACCCCCAGGGTATGTTTGACCAGGACAAGGTCGAGGCAGACTTTGGCGGCTTCTGTTGGGCCTGTTTCGCCGCCTCCTTCTGGGCCTTTGCCACAGCCTCCGGCTGAGGTGAACGAGAAGGAAAAAGACAGGAAGGAGCGAGTGAGGGTATGTTTCTTGATTAATCATTTTCATCCGTTAATATTTTGCTAATCCTTACTTATTCGCTCTTCATAGCATTCGACGCCTACGCCGTCTATCACTCGGGCTGAGCTGCACGCCGTTCGTCGTGGATCCTCTCCTTTGTTTCCCGCGGCTTCCTGTGAATGGCCCTTGCATCATCACCCTTCCTCTGTTGGGGTTAATGTTCTGACCACCCCGGAATTGACGTCGCTCCATGCCTCTCCCTCTGCTTCTGCGCCCACATCACCAGAGGAGGCCGGAAGGCGCCCTTCATTAGCAAAGGACATCCTATACCTATCGTCCTCGTCTTCCTCTTTAGAGCTCCAAAAGTTATACCAACAAGGAGGACAAATGACCACCGCTGACCCTGACCCCAACCAAGAATTTTCTTCTTCAACTTCGGAATACTTCTCTGAGGACCAAGCAACGGAAGAAGACCTCCAATACCGCCGCCAGCGACAACATCACCTCCTCTCGCGATTGCAGGGCCACCTCCCGCGTCCGAGCACCGAGACGTGCGATACGAGCATTTCGATGGAGGAGGCTGCGGCGTTGTTGGCTGCTAATACTCGAGCAAATGCTGGGATTAAGGACAAGATTGGGATTGGGCGACAGCAGATGGGTGGAGGTGTAAGGAACAGGAGGAAGGAGGGACTGGAGTGGACCCTAGGCCTTGGGACCTCGGGGGAGTCATCTGCGCCTTCGGGTTCTGCTTCGACGCATGTGTGTGCGTCTGGTGTTACGCCTGATTCGACGCCCGTCGCACCGGCTGCTCCTGCGCCCGCTTTTATTGCTACGCAGAAGCAGCGGCAGCATCAGCAATCCCAACAGCAGAGAACAAGGAAGGCTGGATTGAGCCTGAACAAGGCGAGCTTGCCTCCTTATGCTGCTCGACCTCCTTCTGGGTTCCTCCTCGACTCAGCGGACTTGTCGAGTTCAACTTGGTCGAGGGAAAGGTGCAAGTCTGAGTCTGCTGCTGCTACTATGCCAGGCGGTGGTAGTGGACGAAGGGGAAAAGAGGATTGGACACTGTCGTTGCCTGGCCAGGTACCTGAGGAATGGGTGAAGAAGATTGGAGGTGCAGGTGATGCGATCGTTCAGGATCGAAACGCACACACCAACGTGAACGGGAGTGTAAGGCACTCTTCGCCCACCCCTGGTTCTACAGCGGATCTGCTTATCACTGTGGAGGATGTAGATGATCCTGAAGGGTTGGATGCGGATGCGGATGTCACCAATATGAGGCTGAGTATGGTAAGGTCGTCCATCACAAGCGACCCGAGAGTTGGTGAGATCGTGCTTTGCGTGCCGCGGGTTGTGTCAAGCGGAAGTGGGATTGAGGATGTTGTGATGGAGGAGACGAGGAAGAGATTCAGCCTCCATTCGTCTATGCACGAGGAGAACGATTATCGCGAAGAACAACAGGTGAAAACTGAAGCTGCTGAAGAATCTGCACATGCTCTTGATCAGGACCCCATCTTGGAACACAAAGAACGCGTCAAATCAAATGCCAAAGTCAATCTTGCCAAGCTCGAAGCGCTCTCTGCTGATTTGGCAAGGTTCAATGAAATGCTGCTCAGTAGTGTTCCGCGTTCGCGTTCGCATGCACGTGCAAGCATGCCTTCTCCGCCTAGGAACTTGAAGCATGCAAAGTCTTGTGGGGTTTTGGAGGTTGACGAGCCCCCGCCGAAGAATGCAGTGCTTAGGATGCCCAGTGTTGAGGTCTTCTTGAACGATTCTGAGGGCTTACGATCTGAGCTGGACTTGGGTGATGAAAATGTTGAGGATGGGGATGATTTTGAGAAGGAGGATGAACAAAAGGTCGTTGAGCCTACGACTCCTCGGATAGTATTTTCCTCAGTGTCGCTCCCGGCAACTGCTGCTTCAGCTCATACTACCCGGCCGTCTATGCCTCGTTTCAGTGCGCCGAGTATGACGACCCTTTCTCCTGTCTCTCCCACCACCCCTAGTCCAACCACTCCAACCAGGATGAGGGGTCCTCTGCCTTTCGCACCCTTCGCCCCTCCCTCAACTTTTGCTGCTTGTGCTGGCGGAAAGGCGCGCATGTCTGAGGCTGCTGCTGCTGTTGGGATGAACAGTGGAAGTGGGGTATCTGGGGTGTTGGCAAGTGGGCTTTTTGGATCCAGTGTTAATAACGGTGGAAGAACCATGGGGAGAACATTGAGTTCTTCTACTAATCATGGTGTCTCTGCTTTGCCGACCAACAAACCCTCACTCAGGTTACAGACTTCGGAGCCCTCGGCGTCTTTCTCAAGGCCAAGAGTCAACAGACGAACTTCCACGTCGTCGATATCGTCCAACAGTACTGCTTCCACAACAACAGTAGCGATAGCTGCCTTTCCTACATCCACCCTGGTTCCGTCTCCCCTGATGTCGCCTCTTGAAACTCCCATGGCGAGCTCTTTCCCTGCTCCTCCTCCTTTATCCTTCCCTTCCCTCGCCTCTGCCATTGTTGGAGGTCGATCGAACTCCAAGTCTGCGAAGGAGAACGCACGCCCATCCACGACCAGCTCCGAGACAAGCGTAAGCAGCGTGGGCACGGACGAAACAATCTTGCCAAGCGTTGAGCAGAGGATGCGCATGCGCTTGGGTTTAGCTGGAACTGGGCTCCTTGGCTCAGTTGAGAGCGACCATGAGAGGGAGGGGACGGATGAGGAGTCGATGTACTCTGGCACTTACTACAGTGCTCGATCAAGTTTCAGCAGTGAGAGACGGTAAGGAGCTGTATGGTCACGCAATGCTTGAAAAAGCTTGTATTTTCTTTGTTGTCTTGGGTTGGGTGTATACAGTACATGTGGTTGAGACCTTTTATTCCCCGAACTTTTTTCGCTTTCATTTTGCTTTCTTGACGATCTCTACGAACTTCTACGCTCTCTTTTACTCCTCGTTTGTCAGATTATGTACATATACTTGCATTCTCCTTAGCCGTTTGTTCATTCACGACCTTTTGTTCCGGTATACCCCTCACATCATCACCACCACCAAGTTGGTTGTATGTGCTCCCCCTCCTTCTTCCGATTATTTTGCAGCTTTCTTCTAGATTTTTGTCTCCCTCCTCCTAAATTTATGCCTACAACCCCGTTGCTACACTCATAATTATCGGTAATCCTATGTTGCATACTCGAAGCTTTAACTTAAATTCTACGCCCCACAGTAATTTATTGATGTCGAATTTGATACCAGTTTCGTTTTGGATGCTTGGAGATTCTGCTGCACAAGATGCATCGCTGATACAGGACGTATGCCTTTAATATTCATATATAATTATGTCTTACGCTGCGGTTGGGGTCCCTCTTAGCTCAGTGGTAGAGCGCGTCACTAGTATGACAGAATGTGTCAATATGAAATGACGAGGTCAGTCGTTCAAGTCGGCTAGAGGGAATAGCATTGGCTTTTTCTTGGACACTATTTTGCCCTGACATTTTAGGCAAGAGTCATCTCTTTCGTCATCATCTGAGGCAAGCTAGCGAATAAGCGCGCACATGATTAGTATAACCTTTTCATAGGCATTATTTATTTGACAATGCGTTGGCTACAGAGCTCAGTACATCACAGGCTAGATTTTGGTGTCAAGAAGGTATTCAGAATGTACGTCTTTCTGGTTGTATGAGAGATAACAAAAATATAGCATATGACAACGAGTATTGAGGATTGTTCGAGAAGATGGCATACCAACGTATATATATATCAGGGTCTGTAGAACGTGGAAGGACGTAAATTTAAAATGATTCAGGACTGGATCCCTTTTTGCTTCCAAATCTCATACGAGGAGCTGTAAATAGACATAACTCAGACTCTTTTTGCATATACGGCTCCATGATGCATATACTACTCGTGGTCCACGGTCCATGTCTATTCGACCCGAAAGTTAGGATCGATAAAATAAGAGACTTGGAGTGCCCCACAATCACTTTCTGATGTTCAGCTAGGCCCTAAATACAAAGTTAGTTTTGTTTTCGAAGAAGAGTGCCCGTTAATAACTTACATTCTCACTGGTTTGAAGTTCAAGGGAAGGCTGCGGAACTTATCCTTTCATTTTACACAGTCATGGCCAAATGGCAATCGCATAGCTGTATGAAGCCTGTTCAGTGTTGCTATCTATGCTTCAATATCGCCTACTTGTTAAATAGAAAAGGTTCATATAGTCATGTTTTGTCTAGTTCAAGAGTTCCATCCAAGGTTCCATGCATCAGTATCGCAGAAACTAGGTGCAAGCGCCCTACCAGACACTTAACAGTTGTCCTGTTATTATCGAATCAGGAGCTACTAGCACGCAAGGTATTTGATAGTCACCCTGAGCTACATCAACAGTTTGGGACCATGTCATTAACGGGGATCGATCCGAAAAATGAGTTCTCCGACCCATACGGAGTTCGAATTTATATGTGGGAGAGACTCCGAGAGAGAGACTAATTACGAGAACTTGTACACACTGAGGGAAAAGGTTGCACACAGACCGCTCGCTATCTTTGCCATCTGTCGATGTAGTAGCATCTTGGTGGTATCCCACGGAGAATTCGAGGAGTTATAGAATGGGCACTGCAGATCCCATTGGAACTAAGTACTCCAAACTAAGCTACAAATGTTAGCTATCATTTCAAGGGATACCTCGTTCCTTTTCCACGTCCACCGCATGCGCTGAAGTGGACAAAAGGACGGTACCAAGAAAGCGGCGCTATGTTTACTCTTGCTTGTACCACGAGGTGTACATTGTGGGATATATTTGGGACCTTTGCACTGGAGAATCATTCCGTATTAAACAAAGTCTTCAAAGAGTCCCAGAAAATGGACACTGCGGACATCATTTGACAGGACACAAGACATTACAGTCGCGTAAACTCGAGTTCTGCCACCGAACCCGAAATTTAAGGGTGCAAAATGCACGCCCAAGATGGCCAACCGTGTGGTCAAGTAGCCAATTCGAAATTGATCGACTTCGCCTGGGCCCTTGTTATCTAATCTGATGATCGTACTATTGGCCTTGGTATCATTCGCTGAGTACGAAAAGCCGGAAAAATGCATATGTGTCCTTGAATACAATAACATAAAGTGCGTAGGGTGATATAAACAGAAAATGTCTCATAACAGAAGACCGCCCAAGATCCAAAACAAAAAGCAAAAAAAAAGAGAAGAATCAAAGTAAGATCAGTTGATCTTTATTAGTTCAACCTCGAATTTCAACGTGGAGTTCGGTGGTATGGCGGGGGGAAACCCTCGAGAACCGTAGGCCTGGAAGACATAATGCGTAAGTTAAATGAATGACGTCAAGGCGCATTATACACGTACAAAGTCCGGCGATGCAGTGAGAATTGCTCTTTGACCCAGAGACAGTTGTAAAACGCCTAACCGGCAGGACTATCAGCACAGTGGGCTAGGGATGAACGCAAACTTACCCTCATCCCAACCCTTGATCACCTTCCCTGTACCGATTTCTGTCTGGAACGGAGAGCCACTGCAGTAAAATGAAAATGAAAACAGTCAATACGCGTGCCACAGACAGCGTAACGCGACACTTACCGATCCCGACTTGAATCAAACTTCCTACCGTCGGTCAAAGTCCCGACGTAATGTATTGTAACTCTGTCTGTCCTCTAATGTCATGCCTCTGCATGGGGAAATGATAGGCGCGCAAAATGCGTACCTCCTTTCTTGGGGAAGTGAACGCCATCCCCTGGAACGATAGTTTCGACAGAGACGCCCTATAGCATGATGAGTTCAATGAAAAACGCGTCAAAGTTCGTTTACCATGGTGTAAAGCAACGAATAATGTACAAGATTGTAAGGACGTAAGTTGCAGGACACGGCAAAATTGGCAGAGACATTTATAGGAGCGGAGTACGGATCTTGATCCGAAGATCTGGTCTCGCCGACATTGATCGAACTTGGGACTTACCAAAGCCTTCCAAGTACAAAGCCCTTGCACCAGCCTCGTTATCGATATCGATTGGTGGACGGTGGAAGCATTCAGGACCATTACGGTAAACCTCCGGTAGTGATACCGAACCATGTAAATTACGTTGGAATTAATCGGTCGCAAAGATGGTGAGCCAGAAGCCATAAATGTATTGTCGAGCGAAGGAAAATCCGAAGGCGAGGCTGAAGCAGCATGCGTGATTCATAACATTCCGGATCCGCGAATGTCAAATCGACCCTCGAATGTAGCGGAAAGTCCGTGTTATTGACCAAAAGGATAAATGAAAAATAGGCAAAATATTGCATGATTGCAGCTTTGAGGGGCGAAATAACAAATCGGCCCCTATGTACGCCTCCAGCACAACTACTGGGCTTGAGAACTCCGAGAAATAAACGTGGATATGTCGAGAGCCTGGACATCTTCACAGGCGTCATTGGCTGAAAAGAAAACAGACATTGACATATTGGCTTCCTGACAGCTTCTTATTGCCTCCATCAAGCCGCGGAATTTCCAGGCCGCCCTTCCAGATAGTTAGAATCAACTTTCGAGGAGCCAAGATTTGGAAGTATAGATCAGGTCTGCGGGACGCAATGCCACCAAAAATCTGGCGCGTTGAAAGAAGTCTGGTTGGAGGAAACAAGAGATAGCACAGCCTGACCGATCACAACATTAGAATCGACAAGAGGCAATCCTATGTCCTTATACAGCTGTCAACCGTATTAAATTGGCGGCATTCTTAATGAAAATGGGAGATCATCCAAGCATACGACAAGAAGCAGAAAGCGCCATCTGCGTAAAGAGCGTACCCAGAAATGGTACTGTATGCCTCTAAATAAACTTGAGCGTCGAAGGCACATTAAAACTCACCTAAACGGTTATTTTGACACATAAACCGAGACAAACCGAGGCGAAGGGGTAACATCGGAAAAGGAAAACTGCAGAAAGAAAAAGGGATAGGATCATCGGCCGTCCTTAAGGAAAGAACAAGTGTTAGTACCCCAAAATTTTTCGCGGAAGAAGATGGTGTCGAATTTCGTTATCGCCCCTTCGCATGCAACGTCGAGATATGAACACGATGCTCTTGAGGCATGGTCGAACGCCGCGGGAGCATTGGTGGTACGAACCATCGCACTCCTGGCATAGAAACGTATTCCGAACACATGTCGGGGAACGAAAGGACATCTGGGGAATGCTTACAGATTCCGGAAATGTTATCACCAGATATTTAATTGCCGTGCGGAGGAGCAGAAGACAAAGAACTCTGGCGAAGGCAAGAAGTGCGTCTTGAGCTTGATAAGATCGACTTCAACGAAGAATATAACGACCCCCGAGATCACTATGATCTTCCTTGCATCACGATAGTGCAAATGGACGAGCAAATAGTGGCGAATAGAAGGGACAGAGGAGATAACAAAAGAGAGTCCGGAGCCGCTGGTCGCCAGGAGGAAAGGAAAACGGATTGTTCCGAAAAGCCTGAAAATAGTGGTCGCGACAACATGCCTGGGTAAACGATCTCGATGAGGCATCGGCAATGGACTTGAAGTCGACATTGCATCCGAATGTACGTAAATTCCTTGTGAGTACAGATGAAGACGTTTGACCAGGAATAAACGCCCTGAAACCCACAGAAGAATTTCCGACTGAGTCCGTTGGGCATCTTTGGACGGCACTTCGCATAAACGAATATGAAATGCACAAGCAAAGGTACCTTGTCCAGTCGGAGAAATACATTAGGAAAATCGAAAACCGTAGGAGGAAAAGGAAGTGGGAACTTAACCTAGTCCTGGCAGAGATGGGTGTCCTGATCGTGGCATGCGTTGGAGAATGTCCCGAGGAAGTGAGGATTCGAAGAAGAGAGCCGCAGTAGTTCATCCTAACCGTAGTAATTCGAGGTAATACTTTTCCGATAACATGCACTGATCCCTGAGCCTCGCTTAGTTGGAGGAGCAGCATCTAAAAATTCCTGGGTAGCATTCCCATCCGAGAAATCGACTGGAACACCAGAGCAATTGCGCAAGCAAGATCCCATAGCTTGCAGAGGGAAAAATATGGGAGAAGGAAAGCATAGCTACGGGTGTCCTGTAGATCCACCCGCTTTTTATGAGCCAGGAATACCCTTGACCACAGAGGGACATGCGTTGCATCCTAACGGAGGAATTCGACCGTTTGATTTTTCAAAATTTCAGCCGATTTCAACCCCCGCGAATTTGCTTTTTCGGACCGAAAGGCGGGTGTTTCTCATCACGTGGTATCAGACGCGATCGCTAGCGACCAATTAGCGTCGCGGTCACCGCCACACGGTTACCTCATTTCTACATTCTACCGAGAAGTCGCTTTGCCAGGTTTGCCTTCTGGAAGACTCTAAAAAATGTTAAAAAAGGATGGAGCTTAAGCCATGAGGTCAACGATTTTGGAGAGAAGGGACCACAACTGAAGGAGGTTCTCATGTCAGTCGACATTCCGAAACG